TATAACGAGGGGTGAGGAGAGCGGGAGGGAGAGAGCGGGGGGGGAGAGAGAGAGCGGGAGGGAGAGAGCGGGGGGGGAGAGAGCGGGGGGGGAGAGAGAGAGTTGGGGGGAGAGGAGAGAAAGGAAAAAAGGGGAGTTTGAGAAGTGGGAAAGGAGAAGAAGGCGAGGAGGAGGAAAGCATGAGGAGGGTTATGGGCCGGTAGGTTGTTGGAGTTCTGTTGGGACGGTGTTAGTTGGTGATTATACGGCGTGCACCGACACAACTGCCGACTTCTGTCACACACACTCGTCGTCATCTCTGCCTGAAAAAGATAAATGAATGTTGCGTGGCGGGCTGTACGGAAGGCAGTACGGAAGGCGGGCAGTACAGAAGGTCAGCCACATGGAAGCAGATAGGACGTACGTACATAAATATATACATACATACAGCATACCCGCATTAATGATTCCTCACCCCGTAACCCCGATTTTCCCATCGTACGACACAACGTACCCGCAGTACGTCCTTTCCCGTATAGCTGAGCGAAGGACGAGCGCAGTACCGACCGCTAGAAAAGCAGTTGTCCTGGACGGAGGGGATTGCACGAAGGGTATACGGGGGAAGAGGGAGAAGGCGGGGGGGGTCGGGTGGGGGGAAAAATATGCGCAGTAACTTCAAGAAGGAAAACACCTGTTGACTGACGTCAAGGTTTGGGGGGGAGAGTTTGGTAATAAACTTTAGCGCCCACGTCACATACATACACACAAACACCGCCTCACGTCGTACAAGCTCCCCATCCGCCCCTCCCTTCCCCCCCGGGGTAGTTTCAATCGTCCAAACCAACCCTGCCCATGAAGGGGGGAGGACGCCGTTTCGAGTTGGGGTGGGGGTGGGGGGGAAGACGAACCACAGGTGGTGGGGGGGAAAGAGGGGTCCAGTAACCCGACTGCCTCTTCACTCCACACAGACAGACTGACGCACACACACATACCTGGCACTCTTTAGTGTTTGTCGTACCCTCCCGGCAAGCATCCAGAAAGAAACGAGGGGTGAAACTTGTCTGGCCGGAGGCCTGAAGATATCCCCCGGGGGTTGGGAGTTAGGGGTTGGCAGTTGGGGGTTGGGGGAAATGGAATTGAAGACGGGGGCCCAGCGAGGGGGATTTCTGAAACAGACAAGAAAAAAACACAGTGCGTATCAGTGCGCAAAATATGTACAATACAATGACAGCCGTGGTGGGAGGGGGTCTGATGAGAAAAGAACAAGGGGGCGACGAGTGTGTAGTACACTATGCATATTGAGGTGAGATGAAAGGGATAAAAACCCAACCTAATACAACACGGAGCCGTACTGCCGTACCGAGAGGGGCGTTGTTCACTAAGGTTCCCTCGTCCGTACAAGACCGTACGTAACTATTCCCCTTCCTGTTCCCATGACTGTTGTGAGTCACATCCACGGATGCATGAGTGCACATGTACGGCATGAACAAACATGTACAACATGAACAAACATGTACGGCACACACAAGTCAAATAAGAGTGATTTCCACATACACACAAGTCGAGACATACACATTTCCTTGCTTGAATGACACAACGTTTCACACGCACACGCACACACCCACACACGCATACACACATACATATACAGCACACACCCACACACATACACACCTCAAACCTGGCAGCCGTGGCTTTAACAGACTGTCGCGGGCCGAAGGGGGACCCCGAGGGGAAGGTGTGAAGGGGGGAGGGGGGTTGAGGGTGTGTGTGTGTATAAGACGAAACCCACACAGAACGTGGTGTGGGTGGGTATTAAGCGGAGTGTGAGGTCGGCGGGTTGCGTCTGTGTCGTCAGTACGGCAGAGCTCATGGAGGGGGGCTACCAGGGGCTTCTAAGGAGCTTCGGATTTCCGAATCTCTGCCCTCTGAAGGAACCCCGGTATGCACATGCTCCCCCCCACCCCAACCCCCAACCCCCCCGAACCCCCCAACCCCCCCCCCCACACACA